GAGCACTAACGCCCTGAGACACTTGCAGAGTAACAGAAGACCTGAGGTGGCTAGAGGAGAACTCAGGTGTCTTTATGGGAACACCAGAAGCATGGTTAATAAACAGGATGAACTGGCACTCCTGGTAGAAAAGGAATTTAACCTCATTGGGTTGACGGAGACCTGATGGAATAACGCATATGATTGGGCAGTGGATATTGAGGGCTATAGGCTCTATAAGAAGGATTTGGTTGGGAAGAAGGGAGGAGGTGTGGCTCTCTATGTGAAGCCTGTCCCTACAAGTCATGTTTGATTGCAGGGAGCAGAACCCCTCCCTGCAGGTCACGTTTGATTGTAGGGAGAGGTCCCTTGAGACCCTTCGGGTCAAGATACAAGGGGGTTCAGGAGAGAGTCCTGATGGTTGGAGTCTACTATATGCCTCCATACCAAGAAGAGGAGAACGATCAGTCATTCTCCAGTGACCAGACTGAAGCAGCCAGCACTAAAGATCTGGTTGTCATGGATGACTTCAACTACCATGAAATCTGTTGAGAGGACCATTCAGCCAGCTCCAGTAGGTCAGCTAACTTCTTGGCAGCTATTGATGTCCTGTTCTTGACACAGGCTGATTCTCTCCAGGCTGTTTCTTACTAGGGGTAAGCCCACTCTGGACTTAGTGCTGACCAAAGTGGAGGTCATGGTAGGTGACCTGAGGATTGGAGGTACTCTGGGTGACAATGATCACGATCTAATTAGGTTCACCATCCACCGAAAGCCTGGGAATTCAGTTAGTAAAACAGAAGTTCTAGACTTCAGAAGAGCAGACTTTGGCAAACTCAGGAGTCTAGTTGGAGAAGCCCTCTGCCACCAGCAACTGGAGAATTTGGGAGTTCAGGAATGGTGGTGCTTCCTCAAGGGAGCAATTCTTACTGCTCACAAAGCGGCCATTCCCACGCAGTCAAAGAGTGAGAAAGGAGCCAAGAGACCCACTTGGCTCAATAGGGATATTGGGGAACTATTGAAAAATTAAAAAGAAGCATATAAGCAATGGAAAAATGGTTCAGCAACCAGAGTGGAATATACTTATATAGCAAGAATCTGCAGGTGTGAGACACAGAAAGCCAAGGCAGGCATGGAAATCAATCTGGCAACTGAAATAAAGGACAACAAAAAGTCCTTCTAAGGAGCAAGAAAAAGATCAAGCTCCACTGTAGGACCCCTACTTAATACAGAGGAACAGCCCACAGTTGATCCCTGCAAAAAGGCAGAGCTCCTAAATACTTCACGTTGGTATTCCTGAAATCAGACAAGAGCTGTTCACCTGTCCAGAGGCCCAAGGAATATGGGGAAGACAACAGACCACATTAAATCAGTCCTGAACAGGTAAGGGTACTCTTAGAACATGTGGATGTTTTCAAGTCTGCTGGGCCAGATGACCTGCATCTGAGAGTCCTGAAAGAACTAGCTGAAATCATAGCAGGGCCTCTAGTGAAACTGTTCATGGAATCGTGGAAGCTGGGAGTGGTCTGGAATGACTGGAACAGGGCCAATGTGGTACCTATCTTTAAGAAAGGCAAGAGGAACGACCCTGCAAACTATAGACTGGTCAGTCTGACTGGTCCTAAGAAAAATTTTGAAAAAATTGTTAAGGAGGTCATCAATTACAAGCTCAGGGTATTAAGAAGCAACCAGCATGGCTTTGTCAAGAGTAGGTCATGCCTAGCAAACCTGGTGTCCTTTTATGACTGGGTAACTAACCAGCTGGACAAGGGACATGAGGTTGATATCATTTACGTCAGTAAAGCCTTTGATTCTGTTTCCCATGAGATTCTCTCCATTAAACTGGAGGGTACTGGCCTAGACCAGTCTACAGTCTAAATTGTTCTGTACAAGCTTTTGGGCACAAAGGAGAACTTAATGAGACCTTCTTTAGAACCCATAAATACCTTTAAAAATTGAGATTCTGAAGTAGTACGGTAGTCATGTAAGTACACTAACTGGTTACCCAGATAATATTAATAATAATCACGATGAATCATTTTTGAGTAATAAGAGACACTCCTAACCTACAGGCTAAGTACACTGGCTGAACAGTCTTCTCAGCCTTAGTCTGAGAAAAAAGATTAAGAATATGCTGAAACCTGCAAGACAGCGCTAACTAATGAGTAGGCCACTGTACAAGCTACATGTGCTATGCTGCAGTTCATGTGTGTTGTATTCAGCATTTGTATACTTACCCAGTCAGGTTTTATGCATGCATACATTACAGAAATGTTAAGTAGCAAGTAAGTAGCAGGAACATAAATGCTAATAAGTTAAAAGAATTGCTTGCTTTGATAGTGTTTTAATGTGTGGTTACTATGGAAACTGTGGTTGCATTGTATTTGTTGTATATCAGATGAACTGAGAGCTTAGGTTTTGTAATCTTGTAGGAACCCTCTTCTGAATTAAGACTACTTGTCTTAGAAAAATGTATTAGAATTCTGGGGAAACAGAAAACTCGGAGAAGGCCACAGATTCTCCAAGAGATTTAGATAATGGTGACCTTTTGGAAAACTTGACTAAGAGAACATATTGGAAATAATATTGAGAGAATAAAGCAGCATCAAATTTAAGATGTGCATTCGTTTGTGTAACCCTTCTTCTGTCAGGCACTAGACGACAGTAATATGGGCTGGGTCTAAATTTAGGAGTTTTCCACAAGCTTTCTACTTGACTCAAGCCCTCACTCAGCAACCTGGGAAAGTAAGTGCTACCTGGCTGTTCCAAAGTGAACAAACTTCCCCACTTTCAAACAATATTAGCTATAACAGGGTTTATTAAAGGAGCAAGCTGGACAAATACACAACCTCCCCCCTCCCCGAATTTCACTGAAACCCCTAAAAACCTAGCAATCTCTCTCAGTCACTGCCAAAACAACTCGGGGGAGCTACTTCCTAGCACAGTCTGTTGAGAAGGGATACTTCCTAGAACTGCCATTTGGGGTCTACCAAAAATGACAGGTGCTAGATAGGGAGACCTACCCTGGAGGACTCTGATGCTCCTTGCCACTAGGAGTTGCCATTCTGCAATGGGGGCTCTACCAACTTCACTAAAGTGACAAGTGCTGGGTAGGCCCACATTAGAATTCTGTACCAGTTCACTGCTGGGGATCACCACTCCTTCATCTCCTCTGTTGGGGACCACTGTGGTGCTCTTGCGGGGGGGGGTCCTTCTGCTCCTTGCCATTGCCAAGATTAACACCACACTGCTTCCAGGGGTCTGTTACTCCTCACAACTGCTGGTTGTTGTTGCAGCACAGCCTCTGGAATCTGCTGCTCCTCACTGCTTCTGAGGGTCACTGTTTCTCTTCAGGTTGCTTATGCAACCTCTCAGCTATTTTACACCCTGACCCCAGCAACAGCAGGCTCAGTGATTTCAGTTCTTTGTGGGTTTTCATCTGAACCCACAATAGGGACTTATGCAGACAAGCACTTTTGCTCTGAAGATCTGATGGCCTACAATGGCATCAAAGGAGTTATTCTTGTCTAGAATAGCAGGTTTTTCTTGTCCCTTTCCCAACTCCACAATTCCATGCACTTAGGATGGAAGAATCCCATGCCCCGCTACAGCCTGGGGACTGACTGGCTAAGCACCAGTTCTGCAGGAAAGGACCTGGGGGTTACAGTGAACAATGTGTGTCAGCAGTATTCCCTTGTTGCCAAGAAAGCTAACAGCATATTGGTCTGCATTAGTAGGAGCATTGCCAGCAAATAAAGGGAAGTAATTATTTTGCTGTACTCTGCACTGATGAGGCCACATCTGGAATACTGTGTCCAGTTTTGGGCCCCTCACTATAGAAAAGATGTGGAAAAGTTGGAGAGTTGGAGAGCAATGAAAATGGTTCAGGGGCCGGGGCACATGACTTCTGAGGAGAGGCTGAGGGAACTGGGTTTATTTCGTCTGCAGAAGAGAAGACAGAGAAGGGCTTTGATAGCAGCCTTTAACTACATGATGTGGGGTTCAAAAGAGGATGGAGCTAGACTGTTCTCAGTGGTGACAGATGACAGAACAAGGAGCATTGGCGACACATAGGAGATTCACACGAGTGCATGTGCACCCCCTGAGCTGAGTGGTGAACCCCCTGCAAAAAATGCCACCAATGCTGCCAGCAGCGCCTGCGGGTGGTCACCGCTCCCCTCCTTCCCCTTGCTGCTGACACCACTGGTGATGTTTATGGATGGTCCCCAGTCGCTGCTAGCCTCCTCCAATGCTGCTGGCAGTGTCTGCGGGTGGACACTGACTGCCAGTTAGTGCTCACCACCCCAACCATCGACTTCACTGCAGCTGCCTGTGGGAGCTCCCCGCTTGCTGCAGCCACACCCCTGCCACAGCTGCTGCCACCTGTGGGCAGTTGCCGTGTGCTCCCAGCCTCCAGGGGCACATGGCATTCATGACAAGGACCAATGGTCTCAAGTTGTAGCAGTGGAGATTTAGGTTGGATGTCAGGAAAAACTTTCTCCCCGGAAGGATGGTGAACCACTGGAACAAGTTACTTAGGGCAGTGGTGGAATCTCCATGCTTGGAGATTTTTAAGGCCCAGCTTGACAAAGCCCTGGCTGGAATGATCCAATTGGGGCTGCTCCTGCTTTGAGCTAAGGGTTGAACTAGATGACCTCCTGAGGTCCTTTCCTTCCCTAATTTTCTATGATTCTGTGAAATGACTATGGACACAAAGATCTGATCCACCTGGCTCTTTACATTTGCATACTTTACCCCACCCCAAACAGTAAAAATCAAACCCAAGTACCTCCCAAACCTCCAAATACACATACTAATGAGGGCATGTAGATAAAGAATAAACAAAGTTACTATAATAGAATATAAACATGACAATATATGCATAACATGTGCAGAGTTACATCTGTTTTTTTATTAGTGGTGGTGGATTGTTTTTGCAATACATGACAAATAAGTATAGATTTCAAAATGAGTACTTACCAAAGGTTTCCATGTTAATGTTGTAAAACTATTTCTTCTAGAGTGGTGACTATCTGGCTACATCATGTATGAGAATAGGGAATAGCTCTGCACCACTGCAAGAGACTGTGAGTATTATGGAATTTTTTCATTACCCCTATGCTTGCCACACTACATCTGTACTTATGAAAATATTAATTAATTCAGAGCAGAGGTGTCAAAAATAAAGTCCACAGTCTAGATCCAGCCTCTGGAGCTGGGTGATGTGGCCCACAGGGCTTCTTGCAGTCTGAACCATCCACCTCCATGGATGCCTCTGTAGCAGCAGTTGTTAATCTGTGTGGCTGCTAGAGCCGCTGTTTCAACACGGCTCCAGAACCCCAGAGAGTTAACACCACTTGCTTCCTCATCACAATTACCTGCTGCTGAAATTGGAATTTTTAGTTTCCACTGGTGACTAAAATTGGTGGCATGGGGAAAAAGGGGACAAGCCGAAGCAATGTTAATTCCCCGGGTTTTGGAGCCAAACTAAGACAGTAGGTCCAGTGGCTGCAGGGATTAACGTCACTGTCATGCTTGTAGGTTTTTGGGAAATTTTACAGTCTAGATTCAGCCCAAAAGGCCAGATGAGCTCAACAGTCCTGGTTTGGACTGTCAAGTTTCTCGTTATGGTTACTTGGGATCACTCTAAACTTTAAAGTGATCCCAAGTAACCATAAACTTTAGAGTGATCCCAAGTAACCATAAAGAGAAACTTTGCACTTCAGAGTTCAGTGTTCAGATGACCCCCAACTATCAGACATAGGTCAAAGCTTTCAAGTTACTTGTGGTTTCATGTCAGTCTCAAAAAAACAAGTTTGGCATGATTTTGATATATATGCTGTGCATTATATTTGTTTGAATTTGAGCCAAGACTTGCCAGAGAGTCTGTAACATTAGCAAATTTTTGAAACCCCAGCATGAAGGGACATTCCTATGGCTTTGGACCACATTGTGAGCTACTTACATGCTTCTGTTGATTCCATTTGTAGTCTTGAATTTGCTGTGTGCTGTGATAGTCAAATCTTTAATGGGATCTTCAAGATAATGACTACTTTGACTTCTGTTTTTAAACAGTGATAACATAATCTCCTGAATCCAATCACATTACAGGATACACTGATACCTAGTGTTTGATTAGCTTCATTTTCCTTTGCTTTGGTTCTGTTTTTTTAAAGTATATTACAGTTTTGTGATGCCACTGGATTAGTGTTATTTTTTCCAATCTGGACAAATGCTAAATATTTTTATGGAAATACAAATACTCTTTATAAGATGCCACCCCCCCACACTTCCCAGCGCACACACTTTTTGGCCTGGCCTTTCATTTTTTTGCATTCAATTGAATTTTTATATTCCTTTTACTTTACATGGCCTCTTGGTTTTCACTATCTTATGAAGGAGTCCTGAGACTTCTCAGTAAGTAGGCTTTCCTAGAGCACCCCTTACTGGACATGATCATGTAAGCTGTATCCATCTAACTACAACAGTGACAGTGGTCACCTCTGATCATATTGTTGGCTTTCCTGATGCAGGAGATGAGTTATAATAGAGAAGGAGGTATTCACATTCTTTCCTCTTTCTGTTGTGTTTGGGGCAGCTGAGTACAATTAGATAGATTCCTATCTATCAGGAACAAAGCTGATTACTCAATGCTCTTCTGCTGACCAGGTTATAAGCTAATGCATTAACTTTATGATTATAGAAGTATTTTCATCTCTTCACTTTGCAATTGTTGCAGTATCCCTGGTCATTTTTTGATATGTAAGTATGCTTTCATCAATAAATACTTTGTGCAAAATAGAGCACAATATAAGGTTGCCATTTTTGACAGAATAGGGGAGAGATGGGGGGTCCAATATCCTTTCAAACCTTCTGTGTTTTTTACTCTCGTCTGTTCTATGTTCATGAAAATGGGATATAAATTGTTCCTTGATCATATAGCTGTAGGAGCTAAGTAAGAAAAGATCCATCATATTTTTATTTTCAGGGCAGATAGAAGGGTTCTGATTGATGGCTGTATATTCTATGCATTGTGAAGCATGGGGGAGACCTCTAAAATTTCTGTGGAGTGAAGTATTGATGCAGCAGTGCAGTATGTTTCAAAGTAAATGGTTATATTTTGTAGTTAATAATATGTGTGTCCAGTATACAAATGTTTAGCCAAGTATTTGTTTCAAAACAAAACGTTACAAATAATTGAAAGGGTCAGAATAAAGCTATACAATGACATTGTTCCATCTGAGTTTTCTTTCTAGTAAAATCATCACATTGTTGGAGCATTTATTCAAATGCATATGCTTTATGCACACACTCATGGAGTGGGATCTGAAGGTGGTGTAACAATTCTGAGAAAATGAATGTATGAGGTTTTTTTTCTTTTGCCTCATAAGTAAATTGCTTATAAAACTAACAGCTGCTGTTTTGAAGCTAATCTTAGTGTATTGAATGTTCTTTACCATTTTTGCAATCCCACAGTCCTTTATCTTGCTTCTCCTGCTGCGTTCCCACCACCCCTGATCCCATTAGCAAAACTTGAGACAGCCTCAGCTTTTACCAAAGTGCAGCTTTGGTTTCAGCTGCTTTTCTGCAAGAGGAAGTGAATGTTGCGCTTTTTTCTCTGTGGCATGGTTGTGATAAAGCTGTGGTGCTCTTATCTCTCTTTTAGGTAGTGGCTCTTTATGACTACACAGCGCATCGATCAGATGAGCTAACCATCCATCGCAGTGACATTATCCAAGTGTTATACAAAGATAATGATAACTGGTGGTTTGGCAGCCTAGCAAATGGACAGCAAGGTTATTTTCCAGCTAATTATGTGGCTGGTGAAAGTAAGTTTACTGCTCTTCCTGGTATACCGGTATGGGTTTAACTGATAGTCCAAGATTTTACCAAGTTATACTGCTTATTACTACAAATATGTAAGTTTATAAAGTGCACATATGAGAAGTCAAAAACTCACTGCAATGCATAAACAGTTTCAATTAAGATAAACACTTAGCATGTTAACATGTAGCATTTTCTAAGTCTGAAATGCAGTGACACTACAATGATACATTCTTGTTCTCACAGTATTACTTCTGTTACCAACCTCTACCCCTCCTCTTTACCACATGCAACCACCTGGTTCACATACCATCTTGGCAGTTCTTTGGGGCTCCCACAAGATCTAAACAGTTCATAGGCATTTCAGCCTTTCATTAAGTAATAGCTCCTCAATTAAGCCAAATTGCCAGTGCAAGTAGCACAGGTCCCAATTCCCACTCCCTCACCCCCAATGGATAAAGTTTCATCCCCTGAAAACTGAATTATATCCTGAGGTTATAAAAAAAGAAATAGCAGTTAAAGCAAGAATCCCAAGTATGAGCTCTGAATTTACTCCTGAGTCTTAATCATTAAAACAACCTTTGCAGAACACTAATACAGCCTAAACCTGAATACAAAATAAAATTAAAATATTCCCATATGACTTAAACCCCTGGCACATGTTACAGTTATCGTGTGATTAATGTGGTAGTGTAGTAACAGTGCTACAGTTTCAGCTGATTTATGGTACCATAACATTGTGGCTGGTTTGCCACTTAATTTCATAGAAAAATGTGTAATATCTTTGTGGTTCATTTTTATGTCACCATAAATTAAATATGTGGCATCCCCAGGCCAATGTTGAGAGTTGTCAGCAATGACATTGGAACAAGGGTCAGCACTGGGATTGGGACAACCCTAGTCCTGATGCTGAAAATCGGCTACCAGGAGAATGATATACAAGGTTCCCTGGTAGAGGACTCAAGGAGCTCTGGCTGCTGGAGACCCAAGAATTAGGAATCCATTGAGGTAGTTTCACAGGTAATTAATATCATTTTATTAAACATGTATTAATACTGGTGATGAGAGAACTTTAACCTGACCAAATCAAAGAAGGATCAACTCTTCAGTTATCTGATCTTTAGTGGGAGCTGCAGGGCAAGGCACTTAAAAATGCTGACATGCAGGCAGCCAGGTGGAAGCCATGCTTTTTAGAAGTCCCAGGGCTTGGAGACCTTGCAGCAGAGAAGTTCCCAGATCCCAGGGTCCCAGTGCCCCAGAACATCCAAACATTGTTCAGGTATGCTATCCCCTGATGGTCAGATCCAGCTCCAACAGCCTTGGGTCTCAAACTGGACCCGGGTCTTTTGGTTGGGGTTGGGGTTGGGTCCAACAATGAGCTGTCCCAACAGCTTGGGGCCTTGGCTGTCTGGGCTAGGTCTAACAATCTGCTCCTTAGACGTGGTCCCTAGGTCTTGCACCCAGCTTTGACTCTTGGAATTAGCCTGATAATCAGCTGATTGTTGTACCTGGCCCCAGCAACCTCAGGGAACCTGCAGGGGGCTGGGGGCAGCCCTGGGTCTGAGACAGAGCTGTCTTTAGCGCACTCTTGTAGGATTGGGCCAGGAGCAGCTCAGCAGTGGTGTGAGTGGGACTGGAGGAATATTATGCCCTCCAAGGCAGGAGGTTCAATATTTGGGATGCAACATAAAATCACTCTGTTCCCATTCCACCATTGTTTGAACATCTGCCAGGGGCCAGAGGAAATCGAGAGCCCAGCTGTTATTTGGATACACAAAGTGTCGCTAGGACAGAACTGTCAATTCTGAACTTTTAAATGATGGAACATCATGTCTGGTCACATTCTAAAAGCACAGACCCAAAAGGTAGAAATTCATTGTGATGTCTCTTAAGACAATAAGCATGCTAGGTTAATTCATTTTCTTTTATTAAACTTGTATTACTACTGGTGACGAGACAACCTTAACCTGATCAAATCAAAAGGGATCAACTCTTCAGTCATCTGATCTTCAGCAGAGACTTATATGGCTTGGGAAAGATGAAAAAAAAACTATACCAAACCTTGAAAATTGTTCAAAATAACTTTATTTCACTAAATTTCACACTCTGCTGTATTATAACATCATGAGTAGTCTGTAATGGTGCATTGGATAACCTTTGAATTATACTTACTTCAGGTGCACATGGTATTCTTACCCATAAATGTCTAATTTTTTTTAAATATTTGCTATCTATTTATAAATTTAGATATAAGAAGTCTGTTAATGTACATAATCCTGCTGAAAAACAGGCTTCAGGAAACCCGGAAAAGTTTTTGATGAAAAAATGTACATTTTTTTGTGAAAACTGTTACAAAAATATTTAACCAGTGTTAGTGAATGTCCTACTGGTAACTGAATAATAATTTAATTTCCATTCAAATTAAATACACATTTGTATTAAACACACTTTAATTACATAATTTTCATGACAAGCTGGATCATGACCTTAGTCTCATATTATCTTTTCAGCAGAATATGAAGAGGAACAGCCTTTGGGATTAGTGCCAGATTCTTCTCCTCTTCTATCAAGTGGACAAACACAAGCAGGAAAAAAATCTCCAACTCCACATGGGGTAATTACTTGAAAATAGGAAATTCTTTTAAATATGGATTTGAATTTTTTCTTCTCTTGGATAAAACAGCTACCTGTTAGGACATTATATCAGGCAAGCATGAAAACAGAAGTGTTTTCAGCGCGTGCTTTAATGCTTTTTTATTTGGCTTTAATTGCTGTGTAATGTAGCAATTAAGTGCAGAGCCCTAATCCTGCTCCTGTTGACTTCAGAAGGAGCAGAAATAACCCCCTCCTTCCTGAAGCATGAGCACAAACATGAATTTGTAAAGAATTAGCACATTGTATTATTTGGTTAATGGCATTTAGCTTTCAGTCTTGGGTAGCACACCGCTGCGAGGCACATGTATCTTTATAACTGTCCACCTTGTTCTGTAAAATTACTCATTTTTGAAGTGACTTAAATGAAACTTATTATGGGCACTTTTACATGTGTTCTGTGGGTGAAGGGATGGCACTTTAATTAGAGCGACTCCAAGACCTGCTCTGATTAAAATGCCCAGTGTCTCGTGTGTTAAGAGTTACCATGCTTCAAAATGGAGGCACTTGAACTAAAACTTGTTCAAGTGCCCCCACTGCTATTTTGAAGTGTGGGGACACTGATACACAAGATGAAGGAAGCTGCTGGAGCATGGTAATTACCACACTCCAGCAGACTCAGTCAAATAATTACAGCACATCGGAGCAGCCACCATCCTCATGTACAGGCACCCTATATGCCTAGGTGAAGAGTTTTTCAGTCCATGTAATAATTACTGTACCTGTTAAGGACTGCAAAACCTCTTTAGCACGCTTCGCAATTTTTTATATTTATACCTGTTAATTCAGGACATGTGGTTTTACTAAAAGGCTGCTGAAGCTCCTCCCATCAGCCCGTTTACCATGCAGGTGATTTGGGGAAGGGGCACTCCACAGACTTGGCCCTTGCATCATCTAATCTGGAAGAGTGAAAGACACTGGGAAACTCTTAAAAAGAGGCTATATATATTTTCCTCTGATCCATCCCATTTTCTTAATTCTGGTAAAACTATTGTCCAGGAGTATTTTACATGATGCTGAAATTTACAATTAAAAAAATTTGTAAGCATCCATTTTATAGGCAAGATAACTTAGATTAGTGTGTGTTCACTGGTTAGTTTGTAAACCTCGCTCTGGAGATGCCTTATGATGAGAGGCTGAGAGCCATGGTACTCTTCAGCCTGGAAAAGCACAGGCTCAGTGGGGACCTGGTGGCTGTCTGTAAGTACATAAGAGGTGTACATCAGGACCTGGGGGAACGCTTGTTCACCAGAGCGCACCAAGGGATGACAAGGTCAAATGGTTACAAACTCCTCCAAGACTATTTCAAGCTGGACATAGGGAAGAACTTCTTTACTGTCCGAGCCCCTAAGACCTGAAACAGGCTGCCTCCAGATGTGGTGCAAGCACCTACTCTGGACTCCTTTAAGAGACATTTATCTTGCTGGGATCCTTTGACCCCAGCTGACTTCCTGCCCCTGGGGCTGGGGGCTGGACTGGATGATCTTCCAAGGTCCATTCCAGCCCTAATATCTATGAAATCTATTAAATAAAACCCTTGTCTCTCTGTGCCATCTTTATCTACCAGCGCTGTGTTTCCAAGTTGTGTATGTGTTGAGTAGCAAAGTTCATACCATGCTGAGTGTCATACTGTATTGTACATTTAATTGTAGCATTCCTGTCTTCCTGTGCTTACACATTTTAAAGCTTAGTGGAATGAATTCACAGTCTATTTATTTAGGAGCAAAGAAGCAAGTCTGCCTCAACTAAAGTTAAATGAAATCCATGAGGAAAAAACTGAAAAAATACAGTATTGCCCTTCAGATATTGGAAATAAAGGTGTGTTGAGCAGATCTGTGACTTCTGCTTCTCCAGATAATAGAGGTCAGAACCTTGGGATACTGGTCATTGGGCAAAGGGAAATATACGATGATGACAGTAAGTTCAGAGACCATTAGTTACAATGTTAAAATTATTTTTGAGTTAGACTTGTTTGTGACCTCTTTGCATATGGTTTTTCACAAATGTTCAACTAATCAAAATGTATTAACATAAATACTTATAAATTTAATTTAACTTAGAATTTCTCATTAAAAATATTTTTCTAAAATGAAGTTCAGATTTTATGTTTGGGCCCTAGCAGACATTACAACATGACACACGTTCAGCCAATTTATGATACAATAAAATGGCATACCAGCCACAGGTGTGTTATGCATTTAATGTAAAACATTAATGTGGTTTGTAATTTGAATGTGTGGCATGTAACCCAACATCAGGTTGCACCATGAGGTTTTAAATGTCCCTGTGTTGGGAACCTATGGGTTCCCCTGTGCAGAGTCATTTAAAGCCACACTGTACAGCTTAATGCAGGATCTGCAGCAAGAACAGCTGAGGACCCAGGCTACCTAATGCCCAGCTAAATGTACTCCAGCACAGAAGCCATGGGATCAGGGAGCTCCGTGGTTGCCACCTGCTCATGCTTTGACATAGAAGCAACACACGTGCAGCTGATGACCAGAGAGCAACCTGGTCCCCAGGTGCACACTTTCACCAGAAACCAAGAACCAGGGTGAAACCGAGAACCAGGCTCCATGCCCCATCCCCAGAGGGCTTCCCCAGTCCATACCAGAGACCTGGGGCTGCTCCCCATCTGATCCCCAGAGGCAGCCCCTGGTCTGAGACCCAAGGTTCAGGGCTGCTTCAGGGCATAAAATTCCTCAAATCCCTTGGCAAAATCATTTGAACATCTGCCAGGATCTTTGATTGTGAGAGGTAAAACATGATATAAATCATCCAGAGAACAGCAAAAAGAAAAAAAAAAGCATGTACTTACCATTATAGTGCAATTTTGAGATTCAGATATTTGCAAACCTGTTTGCAACCTGTATGTATAGCAATAAATTCAATGTAGGGGAAGACAGAGGTAAAATTTAACAAATTATTCGGTACAAATTATTCACTCAACTTACTGCTAATACCAGTATATCATATATTAGTACAGATATTTTATATAGAATTAAAATTTAAAAAAATATAATTAATTCTGTTGAACAGAAATAGCAACTCTGAAACATGTTTCTGATTTTATAGCTATTTCACTATAAGAATATGTTTGAGAAACCCATAGCCAAAACCATGTTTCATAAGGGATTAAATACAAATATACCCTGTCCTCTAAACGTACCATGGAACAGTTATAGGCAAAGGTGAATAGTTTCTCTTTATCTATATCGAGCACAGATTTTCCCAATATCTGTATTATCAGTCTGTTGGTTAATTGTCCTGGTAGATGTTTGAAAACCTCAGCCCACCCTCACACCCCTCCCCACACACTATCTTTTTATTGCAGCTGTAGATATCACCATCAGATACTCATCTGTCACTTTTAGCAATTCTGTTCATCAGACATGCAAAATTAGAAAAAGAGAAGATCTGTACTAGCTAAAGTTGTTAGAGTTTGGTTTTGTGTTTATCTTGAGTTTTCTCTTTTTATCCAGAGGAAACCTAATTGTATTGTTGAATCAGAACAGTTTTCAGGTAGAATTATAAATATCAGTTAAAATTAATTTGCAACAATTAACTAAACTTTATGGGGGGGGAACAACTGACCAATCTCTCCTGAATATTTGTTTATTTTTAAAACCTTATTGTTAAAAAGGAATCATTTAAACATTTCTAACAACATCTGAATTTCTCCTGTAGTAATCATTTCAGTGGTGTTTTAGGGAAAGATCATTGGTTATAATTAAAAATGCTGGTGCCTGAGGATGATCCTAGTAGGAATGTGTATGTAGATAAACCTTTAGACCTCATTAAAAAGTGAGGCATTATGTACTATTAATAAAAAGGCATTACTGTGGACTCAGTACTCCCTAGGGTCCTGAAGGAGCTCAAATAAAAATTGCTGAACTCCTAACTGTATGCAACCTATCACTAAAAACAGCCTAGTATGAAAGGACTGGAGGGTTGCCAATGTGACTGCAATATTTAAAAAAGGCTCTAGAGAGGATGCAGGGAACTACAGGCCAGTGAACCTAACTTCTGTTCCTGGAAAATTGGCAGAAACAATAATAAAAATAAACATTGTTTAGCATATGGATGACATGACTTGCTGGGGAGGGACCAACATGGCTTTGTCAAAGGGAAATAATGCCTCACCAACCTACTAGAGTTCTTTGAACATGTCAATAGGCAGGTGGATCAGGGCAATCCAGTTGACATAGTATATTTGGATTTCAAAAAGCCTTTGACAAGGTCCCCCTTCAGAGGCTCTTAACTAAAATAGATAGTCACAGGATTACAGGGAATTTCCATGCATGAATTAGAAATTGGTTTAAAGATAGAAAGCAGAGTGAGTTTAAATGGTGAGTTTTCAGGATGGAAAGAAGTAAACAGCAGAATCTCCCAGGGATCTATCTGTGTTGGGACTAGTGTTATTTAACTTATTTGTAAGTGATCTGGAAAAGGGAGGAAATAATGAGGTAGCCAGATTTGTATATGACACAAAATTATTCAAAGTTTTAAAGACCAACAGGGACTGTGAGGACTAAAGAAGGATTTGGCATGATTTTGCAAGTGGGCAACCAAGTGGCAGATGAAATTCAGTGTACATAAGTGTAAAGTGGTGCACCTGAGCAAAAATAACCCAAACTATACCCAAACTATCATAGAATCATAGAATCAATGAGTCAGAAGGGACCTAGACAGATCATCGAGTCCGACCCCCCGCCATGGGCAGGAATGAGCACTGGGGGTGGGAGGGGTCATAAGACCCCAGCCAGGTGCCCTATGATGGGCTCTACATTAGTTGTTACCACACAGAAAAGAGATCTAGGAGCCACTGTGGGCAGTTCACTAAAAACATCAGCTCAGTGTTCAGCAGCCATCAAAAAGGCAAACAAAATGTTAGGGATTATTAAAAAGGAAATTGTAAACAAAATGGAAAGTCCCCTATAAATCCATGGGGCATCCACATCTTGA